AAGTTACAGACATTGAGTAAGAGTTTGACTCAATTCCACAGAAGGGAGGGGCAGCAGCAGGGAGGCTTTATTGGGAAATAACCTGGTTTTCCACTGGGCCACTAACCAGCTCATGAGACTTTGAGTAAGCCACCAACTTTTCTAAGATCCTTTTGAGTTCCAAAAATAATTGTTTAGGTCACGAGCTTTCAAACATTCTGGGAGGATGACACAAGTATTTACAAAAGATTGAGGCTGGAGTTAGGGTGGTATTTGAAAGCAGTCACCAATTTTCTGCAAATGAATCCTACATGGAGGCAGAATGAAAATGGGTTCACAACGATAGGACTCAGTTTGCTTCTCGTTGGGCGACCCTAAGTGCATAGCAGGAAGGAGGTCAAGTAGCATCCCTGGTTAGTAACTGGGCGAATTACAGGTAAGGCATCTAGGTGTGTATCTCCCCTTGCGAGGTGTATTGAGGAAAGCAAAGGGAACAACCAAGGCCATATCCATCTAAGAGTCCTTATTCGGAGCGGCCACCACCACCATCATCATCACCATCCAAGAAAAGGATGACTTAAGGACACTAGGCCAAGTTCACTATGACAAGAAGCACTTCTAATCTGCAGGTCACTTAACGTATGTACTGACTCAATATTTATTCTGCATTGAATCCCTTCTATAGTAAGTAATTTTTCTTGAAAAACTTAGGATCAACTCTCTCTAAATGAATATCAAAGATGCTAATCTATTAGAAGGTCACCCATTATATTCCAGACAAAATGGCCAAGGCTCATGGAAAACACAGTGTCGCACCAGAGAGCAGAACAGGGCCATCGATATGGATGTGAATTCTATGACTTTCTATTAGCCCTACAATCTTATGGTCATTACTGAGCCCTCCATTTTCCACTTACGCCTGGGTAAGATGCATTTTACAATTTGTTTGAGGAGATAAAATTCAATTAGAGCATAGGATATACAAGGAAATATCAACAAATGTCCAATCTCATCCTTTAACTTCTCCAGATTAAGCAACAACAAAAAATACCCAAACTTTCATAGAGGAAAACACTTAAAAGATACAACATCCCTATCCGAAACGTTTCCTATGGTGAATACCTGACAGATAAAGTAAAATACAATTTCCCTCCTACATCTGTAAGATTCAAAAACCTGTTTTAAAAACCGTTAGAAAATGATTTAACTTGGCTGGCTCAGTCGGTTAAGCGCCTGCCTTTGGGTCAGGTCATGACTGGGGTCCTGGGATGGAGCCCTGGGTGGGGCTTGCTGCCCAGGGGGAGTCTGCTTCTCCCCCTCCCTCCGCCCCTCCCGCGGCTTGGGTGCACATGCGCGCTCTCTCTCTCTCACATAAATACATAAATAAATAAATCCTTGAAAGAAAGAAAGAGAAAGAAAGAAAGAAAGAAAGAAAGAAAGAAAGAAAGAAAAGAAAATGATTTAAGCAAAATGGAAATGACTTTACCTTCACCTAAGAGCAAAACTCAGTGTCCAGAAGGTCAAATACAAATCACTTGGGCAGATCACCAATTTAAATACCTGAAAGGTTCAAACTGATTCCAGGATCCATCAAACCCAAATATCTGAAAGTCCAATGAACTTCCTTTTTGCTTTTAAGAAGCCAGGGTGACCAAGGTCTCCATGGGGATAATTAATTCCAAGCATTTTGTCAACAGGTGACGACCTCTACATTCCTGAATAATAAAAGTTCAACTCCTGGCATAGGCTGGTGGCGATGTGCGCAACAAGCAAGTGTATACCACGTGTCCTCGGAATTTCAAATATCAAGAGCGGTTTCTATCAATCTTAGTCCTAATGACTTACTAGTAAGACACTCCTTTCAAATGCAAACGAACGCATCTGGATCCAGGACACCACAGAAGCTAGTAGGCTCAGGAATCTGAATGAATTATGTCTGTTCCCCAGGTCATACAGCCTTACCCAGATCTCAACATTATCAAAACAGTAAGCCTTTCTCCGAAGGTCTCTGAACTGGCAAGGACTTTCTTTCTTTTTCTTTCTTTCTTTTTTTTTTTTTTTTAAATATCAGTTCCATATGGAGGCTAGGGTTGTACTAATCAACCCGCTCTGGACTTTTGAAACGAGTACAAGTGCCCTGGCAACCTATTCAAGGTACCAGGGCTACACCTGGAGGGTCTTCCTAAACCTCGTACTTCTACATTCAACCAACTTGCACCCAAGGCCCCAGGGCCCCGGCCTCTGAAAGGAGCACGTGAATGGCTACAGGCGGAGGGGAAGGCGGGTTCTCTCACCATTTTATGGTGAATGTGCTTTACAGAGACATACAGAATACGTGAGGCAGTGTCCTGGGTGTTTGACGACTGCACTTAATCCTTGCAGAGACTCAGCTGTAACCTGCATTTCGTGGATGAGGACGGAGGCACAGAGAGACGCTAAGCAATCTGCCGAGAAAGCCACACAGCAGAGACCGGATTCTTAACCCAGTGACGGGCCCCAAGTCCAAGTCCACCACACCCCGCCCTCCGTATCAGGCTTTTCTAGGCATCATACTCCCCACACAATGTACAAGCGACGGCTGAAATGTGTATTTACAAGTTTAAGCAACAAACCGATGAAACCCAGTTCTTTCTAAAATGAAGAAAAAAATCATCGATTCAAAAACAAAGTTCATAAAATGTTTAAGTGATAAGGAGGAAATATGGTGTGAATGCACTGCCTTCCCCACGAAACGCCCTTTTTCTATATCTTGAAATGTTTCCTTATGCCCCAGGCCCCTGGTGTGCATGCAGATGGTTTCTATTTCTAAGCCTCCAAAGCTTTCAGGAATTTATTCCTAGACTTTGAAACCTGCTCGCTTGCAACCTCCCCTCACCGATGGCCTTGGCTAGTCCAAAAACTCTCTGCTTTCCCTGTTTTTGTTTGAAGAAAAAAAAAAAAAAAGATCTACTGCCTTTGGAAAGCCTGATTTTTTAAAGTTATTTAAATCCTCGGGTTGCAGAAGCAGGAAAATGCACGACAGGACTCCTCTGCCTCCACGTCACCCCATTTCTGACGTCCAGGGGGAGGAGAATGCTGTTGGATCAGCGTCGCTAAGGCCCGAGTCTTCTCAAGATCACAATTTACCTACGAGCTGGTAAGAACTGGATGCCACACGCTCATCTTTTGCTCTCGTAAGGTTCAGCGGACACTTAACCTCGGTGTCTGTCTAGAGAAACAGTGGCGGACGGAAGCGCCTGCCACCGAGACCCTTCTTTGGCAGGCCGCGGCGTCGGGGCTTCAGGACTACCCCTGTATTTTCTCAAAAGAATGTCAGTGCCACCTCCTGAGTTACGTAAGCGGCCCTGGGAAGTTCAGTGAGGGTGGCTACCTGGCTTCGTCCAATCCACTTTTGGGCAAATTCCCACAGGGTCTCATTAAATGTCAAATACGCACATGTAGGAGGACACTAGTTAGCAATTATGATAGCTGAGCGTCTCTGAAAGCGAACTACCCCATTTCTAAGCCTGAAACCCCGAGGCCTTGATTAATCAGCTCGGGCCACAACTGCAGCTCCACGCACAGAGTGGGTGAGGGCGTCAATCACGCGGACCGTGCGGAGGTGCAAGGGCGAGGTCAGGAAGCCTCGGAGAGCCAGTCATTGTGCTTCTGCGCTGTTCAGCCGTATGGGTGGTCCTTAGTATCGTGAGAAAATGAACAATTATTACCCCAACCCTACAACTGAAGTAGTGAAACTCACGGAGGCCTCCAGTAGTCTGCCCACCGGGGCTGAGCCGGACGGAGTCTAGGGATTTTTCAAACCCAGGCACTTTGCACTGTGCCTCGGGGTGCCTGCCCCAGACACACAGAGGGTTTTCTCTTCGAAAACAATTCCGGGCTATTCACAACCTCAAAGCCAAGGGTGGTCGAGCAGACCTGATGAATGCTAGATGCTGCACCCATTTCCCTGAGAACTTCAGCTCGTCTACATCTCAGAGTGTCCTCAGTGGCCCCCCGGCTTCCCGTTCACCAGCTAAAATGATCACGAAGACGCTGATCCCTGGTACAGAAGGGGTCAATCGGGCAGGTCCAACCACATGCAACATAAAGGCCTAAGCAAATCGGGGCATTTCTTTCAACAGAATCAGACACCAAAAGCGATTGCTTCTGACACAGGAGAGTTGACAGGCCTTCTTGGGATGTCTTTCAAAACACGATTTTAACAAGAGATTAGAAAAATAAAGACAGAACAATTTTGTAAGTCCTTTATTTTGTGAGCATCGTTCACTACAGCTTTTAAAGTTCAGGAGTGCCTCACGTGAGTTTGTAAACCCGTAAATGGACATCTTAATCCGAGACGTTCAGAGCAGCCCATTCGTTTTACACCGCTAGAAACTGGAAAGGAGCCTCTTAGGACCCTAGCTAGACGCCCCCATGTACGCACATATATTTAGAAAGAACAAAATTGATTACTTTCCAAAGACCGACACGAAGCACTATTGAGTAATATTCTACACAACTAACTTAGTTTCGTTATCATCAGTAAGATTTCATTTTTTATTGCATGTGTACATATAAGCACGTGTGTGTATGTGTGTACATATGTGTGTGTAAGCATGTGTGTCTAGACATGGCACCTTAAAAAACAGTCTTGGATTTTGCAAGTCTTTACAAAACTACTGTGTATAACACCCAGACATCCATTTTACAGTGACTAGAACTCCCCCAAATGTCAGTTTTTCATACTCTGCTTATCTTGGCCATGAAGCGAAAATGGTTTCTAAAGTGTTCTTAATGTAAATTTGTTTCAAAAACCACAAAAGCTAAAGAGACGGAACGCATCACATCTCACGCTATCCTGTGACGTGTTCTGGTAAATTCAGTAAGATTGTAGAGATGCGCCCAAGGATAGGCAGCTGAAGCCCTTAGAGCTCTTCCATTGGACATTCAAATTAGGGTGGTCCAGCAGGAGAGAAGGTTCTCTTCCGCACGCCATAATGAAAGCACGAGCACCAGTTAAGAGACAAAAATGCCATTGCGATATGCTCATCGCGGGCGCCTTTTGTCGGAAGGCCCATTAGCTCCCTTTCTCCACCTGCCAGGGACTGCCAAAAACCAAGCTGGATAAAAGAGTAAGGGAACTGATGATTTTTGCAAATCCGGTTTAAAAATTATCTTGCTTAAAAACTAAGACTTACTGAATTGGGGGCATATTGGTATATATTTGCTATCAAAGCCCATCTACTCCAACTCACCTCTCCCTCAAAAGACATAACCTCAAAGGAAAAAAAAGAAAAAACCTGCAGACAGCCCTCGACACCATAATAAGCGGCTCAATACTAAGGAATAGAGAGGGTACCAGCAGCTACCCTCTCAAGGATGGGCCCGGCCATATTAAACGTGATCAGTATCAATATCCTTTTATTAAAAGGAACAAAAGACATGACTTCCATTTTCCTGCCACATGTTGTCCTGCCAGGGTGTGCCGAGAATACTTAAACAGAAAATTTGTAATGGGCCATTGCAAAAACACGGCATTTAGCTATTTTCTTTCCATAAGTGGCCTTTTGGATGGTACAATAAAGTAGCCCCTAAAGTCAAAAAGAAGTCTGAATGGCCATAACCTGGATGATACATCATTTTGAAGAAAATCAGCCATCAAAGGTACGTGTATCATGGCTTCTGTTAGATATTGCCAAAAAAAGAAAAAGAAAAAGAAAAAAAAAAAAAAAAAAAGGAAGCATCATGAATCCAGTCAAGCATCTTTACCCCAGCAGCCCCGGTTGCCTTCTTCCTCCTCCCCTATCCGTGATTCCCTTCTCCATGGGGCTGGCCTTTTGGGATCCCTAGTGAAACAATGAGGCAGGAATCCAGAGAAGAACAGACTGGGTTCGGGTTCTGACAAGGTGACCACTTCCCCCTGCTCCGCTCTGTAGGCCATCTTGTTCCCACAAGCGCCAGAAATGTCTTAATTTCTTCCAAGTAGTGACACTAGGGGCCGATAGCCGCTGTCAGTTTGGGGACCAGCGTCCCTTAATCAAAGGACCAGCAGCAAAAAAAAAAAATCTGTCAAATGGTTAAGTGATGCAAATCGAGGGGGCCTCCATCACTGCGGTGCAATAGGCCATGGGGGCGGGGGGGGGGGGGGGGGACAATGGGCAGTGCTAGGAAGGAAAATCAGTGTTCGGTCACGAATATAATCCACAGTTTGCTCTCAGCACCAAGGATAATCTTATTTTTCATCACTAAGAATGCCAAGGGCGAGAGGCAACCTGGAAAAAGAAGAAACACACCCGCGCGCGCGCGGAGCCCCGGTCCTCTGCGTCCAGGGGTTTCACGCAACATTTGGGGCAAACGCCTTTGTTCCCCGGCGCGCGGAGGGGGTGGGTGGGTGGGTGATGGGGCGCTCGGCTGGGGCTGCCGGGGGCCTCCACACCCAGCTCTCCGGCGCATGCGCCAGGCCGAGACAAAGGAATAGGTAATCACCGCCCCGGTTCATTCATTCGGCCCGCAGCGCCCGGCCCCCGAGCCCCGGGGCGACCCCGGGGGGCCCCCGCCCCCCCCCCCGCGCCGCCGGCCCCGCCGGAGCCCGAGCGGGTCCCCCCAAGCTGGGCGCCCGGGCTGCACCCGTGGGCGCCGCGCCCACCTCCGCGGGGCGGTCGCGCGGGCGGCGCGGGTTCGAGGCCCGCCCGGGGCGGCGGCGTCTCCGGGGAGGCGGGCGCTCGGCGAGTCTTCCCGGAGGGCCCGGGGCGCACCCACCGGGGCCCGCAGTCCCCCCGCCTCGGGCGCGGGGAGCCGGGGCGGGCGTCGGGGCGCAGCGCTGCCGCTGTCGGCCGCACCCGCCGCGCCCCCCGCAGCCTCCCCGGGGCGCCCACGGGAGCCCCCGAGCAAGCCCGCCCCTGGCCCGGGGGGCCGCGCCCCGCTCTGCGCCCCGCGCCCCGTGCGCCCCGCGCCCCTCCCCGGCCGGTGACATCCGCTCCCGCGGCCCCGCGGCGCTCCGACAGGTCCCCGCCGCGCGCCCCCCGGCCCCGGGCGCGCTCGCCCCCCCCCACCCCTGCGCCAGGCTGCGCCCCCCGCGCCCCGCGCCCCGCGCCCCGCGCCCCGCGCCCGACGGGAGCCCCGCGGAGGCCGCCGTCCAGAGAACAAAGGCCGGGGGCGCGGGGGGCAGGGGCGCGCGGGGGGCAGGGGCGCGGGGGGCAGGGGCGCGGGGGGCAGGGGCGCGGGGCCCGGGCCAGGGGCGCCCTCTTACCGGCTCGGGTGCTGTGCCCCCGGGGAGCGCGGTGCCGCGAGCGGCGCGGGTGCGGGCGTGGCCGGCGGGTGCCTGGCCGCGGGCGGAGGCTGAGTCCCGGCTCGACGGCCGAGCCCGCAGCGAGGAGCGAGTGGGAGCTGCCGCCGCCGCCGCCGCCGCCGTCGCCGCTACTGCCGCCGCCGCCGCTACTGCCGCCGCAGCCCCTGCGCCGCTCGCGCCCGCGCTCCCCCTCCCCTTCCTGCCCAGCGCCCTCCCCCGGCGCCCGCCCGCCGCCCGCCTCCCGCCTCCCGCCTCCCGCCTCCCGCGAACCCCGCCCCTCCGCGCCGCCCCGGGCCCCGCCCGCCTCCCCTGCGCCCCGGCCCCGGCCCCGGCCCCGGCCCCGGCCCTCCGCGCCCCTCCCCCGGCCTGCGCGCGCCCCCCTCCGCGCCCCTCCCCCGCCGAGCCGAGCCGAGCCCCGCGTCCGTGGGCACCCCTCTGCCTCGCCCTCGCCCTCTCCCTCTGCCTCTGCCTCTGCCTCTGCCTCTGCCTCTGCCTCTGCCTCGCCCTCTCCCTCCCTCTCTCCGTCTCCCCCTGGACTGGCCGCACCCGCCCCGCGGTGCCCACGGCGCCCCCTGCACCTGCTGCCCGTCCCGCACCCCCGCACCCCCGCACCCTCGCGCGCCGCGCCCGCAGGAGCCCCGAACGCCTGGACACCCGGACACCCGGACACCTGGACGCCTGGACACCTGGACACCGGGACACCCGGACACCTGGACACCGGGACACCCGGACACCCGGACACCTGAACACCGGGACACCCGGACAGCCAGACACCTGGACACCGGGACACCCGGACACCTGGACAGCCGGACGCCTGGACGCCCGGACGCCGGGACACCCGGACACCTAAACACCTGTACACCGGGACACCCGGACGCCTGGACACCCGGACACCCGGACACCTGGGCACCTGGACACCCGGACGCCTGGACAGCTGGACACCGGGACGCCTGGACACCTGGACGCCTGGACACCTGGACACCCGGACACCCAGACACCCGCACGCCTGGACGCGCGGCGAGGCCGAGGCCGAGGGCGACCCGGGCACCGCGCGGCCGCAGGGGGCCGCCGACCCAGGGCGAGTCCGCGAGCGCGGCCCGGGGCGAGGGCGGCGGCCCAGGTGCGCCGGCGGGGGGTGGGCGCCGCGCCCCGCGAGGATGCTGTGGGCGGAGGGCAGGCGGCGGCCGAGCAGAGGCAGCGGCGGGTCCTGCGCGGTGGCGCGCGGCGGCGGGTCCGGGGGTCCGGGGGCCCGGGGGGCGGGGGCGGGGGCGGGGACGTCCACCCACCTGGCTCACCTGTCGGCGGGGACGGATGCGGGAGACGGCGCGGCGACGCTCACCCCGGCTGCGCGTCCTCAGACAAAAGCCCGCGCGCGTCACCTGCCCGCGGCCGCCGGGACCTGGGGGCCCCTCTCTGCGGCCCGCTGGCGCCCTCTGGCTGCGCCCGGACGGCCTGGGCGTACCCGCGGCCCCGGGAAGCCCGCGGCGCCCTCCTCACGCGGGCGGGGCGGCGCGTCCTCGCAGGCCCGGGGAGGGAGGGAGAGGCCTCGGTCCTTAGGGGAGGATGCCACAGGCAGGTGCGTCCGCAGGCAACTGGGGGAGGTAAGTGCCTTTTCAGTCAACAGGGGGAAAAATCAAAAAAACGTATCGGACCTTACAGTTAAATCAAGCAGGGCGCCAGGGTCCACCAGGACTGTGCCTGCCGGGTGTGCGGGCCCGAGGCTGCTGGCGCAGGGCCAGGCGGCCACAACGGACGAAGGCCTGCAAGCCGGGAGTGTTCGCCTTGTAACCGAAAGGCCGTCAGAAAAAAACGGTGATTTTGTTTGTTTGTTTGTTTGTTTGTTTCCGGGTACTTTCTTTTTCCTTTTCCCCCTTTCTTTTCTTTTCTTTGCCCTTTAAGTGAAATAGCAAAGAAGTAAGCGCAGTACAAGGACAGGGAAGAGGACTGCTACCGGGGGTGTCTCCCGAGCATTTCATGTCTCTGAACGGTTATGCTCAGTGATGTCGTATGTCCCATATTCGTGCCTCCTTCGGGACCCCCGTCCCCGAGGCTGGATGCTGAGTTTCTCAGCCTCCTGTCTGGGGCGGGTAATTTTTTTATTTTGGATGCGGGAGCGGGTAAGGGGTAGTGTCAGGGCTCTTGTGGATGTGGAGCATCACAGCCGACCTCTACCCACTAGTTGTCAGTAGTGAGTATGCACCTGCGGGCACACACACACACACACACACACACACACACACGCGCGCGCGCAGTACCATCACCACCCCCAGCAACAGGACACCAGTTGTGACAACCCACGGTGCCTCCAGGCATTGCCAAACGACCCCCAGGAGACGAAAATCACTCCAGGTTGAGAACTGCTGGACCAAAATAAAATTTTCAACCATCCTGGGCAAGCCTCTAAGTGTTTACTTTATCAGATCAGATGAGCATTTGCAATTTCATTAAAGCCCAAGACATCCACTGAATGGATCTGTGAGGGCCCCTGAGTAGTTGTTTCTTTAATATTCGGTTTTTAGCTCTGCGATCTTTCAGACGTGTAAGTCATCTGAAAATTAGTGAGCGTCCGTCCCTATTGTGTTCTCATGAGAAGCCTCCGAATATTACCTTCTATTTTCCCTTTGTCCGATTTTTCCACAAAGAGACGACATAGGAAGGAAGGTCTGTTCACCTCCAGTGCTCCTGGCGCAGTGTTCGTGAGGGCGAAAACCAGCCTTGCAAAGGTGTGACTGGAAAGCAGATCACAGGTTACCATAGAAATAGAGGTACAGGCTCACGCCAAGGCGACAGTGTGTCTCCTCAGTGTGGTCTCCCATCAGATTTCGCTGTCCTCTTCAAGGATTTTTTTTTTTTTTAGGAATTTTCTTTAATGAAATCATGACGTAATGGGCCGATAGTGCCACTGATCTCGGAATTTGTCGACATGCATCAAATGGTGACCAAAATGTCACATCTCAATCCGTTATTACATAAAATCCAACACGGTGACGTTTGTAGTCTGAGTTTTACTCGTTCATCCAACATCTTACATTTTTAATGTGCGTGCTCTTGAAAAAATTTTAAAAACAACTCACTCAGGGACTTCAGGAATAAGCATCTGAAGCTCTGGAATTGAGAAAATTGTTAACATTAACTACTGTGGATGCCACTGGCTGCTTAGATTATGAACTAATGGACTTGGACGCATATGGTAAAGTGAATCTGTGACAAATTTCATTACCTGTCGACATTACACACACGAAAATAAAAACTGCCTCACTCTCCAAACGGAATGAATATATTCTTAATAAACAAAGCTGCACTTCCTGGGTTGTAAAATGAATTCTATTGTCATTTTCAATTGCCTGCATAATTTGCTTCAGTGGAGCATAACGTGCATCACGAAAATACTCATCAGAAAGACAAATTATGCAGTGACCACTGATCTTTCCTAAAAGATTCGCCAAAGAATTGCTTGCAAGATAGTGGGCACACTGTCACCTAAATTACTAGTCAGTTTCCAAGAACTCCGGTGTCCGGCCTTCCAGATTGTTAGCGAGCGTGTCAAGTGAGGCGTGTACAACAGATTCGTGTGGAGACCTCATCTCACCCCCAAACCTCGCCCACCGCTCCCGTATCAGCCAGCCGGGCCCGGCGTCTGCCTCGCCTCCCCTTCCTTCTCTCCTAAATTGTGGGAAAAGGGAGTGAGATCCCACATCAAAGATGCAGACCGACGTGAGTGAGACAGAGGCGCGGTGACCTAGCGCGGCCCGCGTGACCCCGGCCGCCGTGGCCGGGCCTCTTCTGGCCAGCTCCTGTTCAAGGCCACCAAGGCCACCGTGACACCCACACAGAGAATCCGGGAAACGCGGCTCTAGCCGGAAGCACCGGCTGGGTGAGCGGGCGGCTGTAGACGTGCGCAAGGCCTGACCTGCAAACTGCGAGTTATAAAGGCGGGTGTGCTGTTACGTCTGAACGTGTGCAGCTTTTTTCCCCTAAAATGCATGTGTGACTTTCAATCAAAGGAGGATGCGGACATCTGTAAATGTATTTCATGCCCCCCCCATCCCAACCTCACCGTTCACACGGCCCCGTGAAGGAACTGCCTTTGCAGGTGCCCTTCGGCTTCCAGGGAACGTTTGGTCCTACCCAGAGGCCTGCGGGGAGACGGTATGACGGGAAGGGGCCACTGGCACCTAACGGGTAAAACCGGCGCTGCCCAGTACCCTCCAGTACCCCCAGAGCCGCCCCGCAGCCAGCAATTATCCGGGCTATAATGCCCGTAATGACAAGGTCGGGAAACCTTGGTTTAAAAGAGCATGAAGTTGGAAAAGACTCGATGTGTCTTAAGAGCACATCCTGCAGGGAAGCTGCCTCTGGCTGTGGGTCGGGGTGTCTCACAGGCAGTGGCTGTGGGAGGCGTGAATGGGGCACATCTTCCCCGAAGCGGGCCCTCCGGGCCCCCCGAGCCTGCCGCCGCCCACCTTGCAGCACCTTCACACAATCTGAGCGGTCCCTCCAGAGCAGGGCCCAGCTTCCTTCCCACCAGGGGTTTTGAATTCCAGTTTGGGTCGCTGCATGCTGAGCAAGGGGCAGAGCCGGGCCTCCAGGCCTCCCCGCTCCAGCCTCCCCTTTCCGTCCAGTAAAACCTTAGCCGGGAGCCCCGAGCAAACACGTGCTTACTACCAGGCATCGGACTCGAATCGGAAGGAGCAGGCCGGCCTTGGCACTACACCGGAACAGTGTTGCCCAAGAGAAGAGGCAGGTGGAGAAAACCACCTCCTCCGTCACCCAAAGAGCTCCCATCCCAGCTCCCTGTCCCTTTGCACACTGCAGTGTCTCCCCTACCCCCATCGCGTCAGTCCCCAGATACTTTTCTTCTATTAAGAAAATGGGCGGGGGGTGGGGGTGAGTGGGTGACGGGCACGGAGGGGGACACTTGACGGGATGAGCACTGGGTGTTATTCTGTATGTTGGTAAATTGAACACCAATAAAAATTAATTTATTAAAAAAAAAAAAAAGAAAATACATCAAACCAATGATAAAAGAGTTTTGCCTCCCTCCCGTACAAAGGCTTTTTCTAGGTGGTGCCCGCCTGTTTCTCCAGAGCCGGGGCGGCGTACTACAGCAGAGGCCTCTCGGGCTTCGGGCTTCGCAACACAGGCCTTAATCCTTTGGCTGCCCCTCCCCCATAACCGCCTGTTAAAACCTTCAAAGAACAGGTTACCTTTAAATGGCATAAAGAATGTTGTAGAACAATTATTCACATGGCTCTGCTTTTGAATAAATGAGACGGAAGAGGTTCTAGTGTTAAATAGCAAGAGCCTGAGGTCTCGCCATGCCTTGTTCCTACCTGCCCCTGCTCTCAGATCAGCCCCTACTGGTAATTAAAGTATTTTTACTTCAACTCCAATGCAAGGAATGGTGCCCGAAATAAATTGCTAAGTGCAAAAAGCAAGTTGCCAAACAGAAGGCAGAGGACGTACATTTCTGGGTATAAATTAATTAAAGGGTGCCGCTTGGCCTGCTTCTCCGGGGCAAATACTGTGCAAATGCCAGTATCTACCCAACTCTGCTCTCTGGAGAGACTCCCGAAGACCCCCAAATAGATGCCATGACCCTCTTGTGTCTCAAGCCCAGGAATCGCTGCTCAGACAAGGTCAACTCAATGTCAGAAGGAAGGATGTCCAGGCCAGGGTACTTGACACAAAGCATCATGGTCCCCCCCCTCAAAGCATCAGTGTTACAAAAGGAATCGGGACAAAAAAGAAAAACGGTCTCGTTGGAATTACAACATTCATTTGGTCAAAATCAAACACAAGGAAAGATGTCAGAAACCTATTTCTTAAATACTAAAGCAGGTTGCTGACCCGTGCGTGTGGGATGGTGCCTTTGCGCTGTACGTAGATACCCGGGAAAATTCTGTGGGGTTTTGGCCCAAACTGTTACCAGTGGCTCCCTTTTCAGAGGTGAGCGGAGGGTGGCTCAGCTGTCTAACATCATGTTAGAAAGTCCTGTGTGGAACGAGTATTTCTGCAGTGACCATTCATTATTTTGGGACTCAGAATATATAATTTTGTACGTTGCTCGGGAGACCCGTTCTGGGCCTAGAAATCACCACTTGGAGATTGCCTTCTCATCAGCTTTCCTGCTCTATGGTTGTTTTTGTTTTGTTTTGTTTTTGTTTTCTAAACACCATACTTCTGCTTCTTCACCTTTAAATGAGTGGTTTGATTGAGACGAGGAACGTGGCCGTAGCCGGGCACTCCCCTTTGGGCTGCTGGGCCAGGTCTCAGGGGCCCCCACCCCATCTACCTCTAATGCAAAAAACACCCTCTCCCTAGCTTTGGAGGTGATTGCAGGAGCAAGATGTTAGCCTAGGGCTGGGTCCTCCTGTGCCACCCACCTGTGGACTTACTCTGGGCGCCCGTGGCCCCATCGTAATCACGCCCGAAACTCGGGTTTCTGTATGTTTTCTTTGGAATGTCCTCCTCCGGGTATCTGACCGGCCTCCTGTCGCATGGCGTTGCTGCCGAGTCAGAATCACTCGGGCTTTCTGTCTTCTACTGGAGGCCAATTATCTTCCTTTCGGCATTTTACTCCCGATACTGCTGCTGTGACAACTTTCAACACACAGTTCTCATCTCTTGAAATGTTTTCTTGGTTTAAGTTTCTAGAAAGTGGGATCCATCCATCACTGCTGTGTCGATTTTTATAGTTTTGTCCTCCTGTAAGATTTTTTTAAAAATATTTTATTTATTTATTCATGAGAGACACAGAGAGATAGAGAGGCAGAGACACAGGCAGAGGGAGAAGCAGGCTCCACACAGGGAGCTGGATGTAGGACTCGATCCCGGGACCCCGGGGTCACGCCCTGGGCCGAAGGCAGGTGCTCAACCGCTGAGCCCCCAGGCGTCC